CCCCCCCCCCCCCCAAAGGTCTAGGAACGGACTCATACGACCGTACGACTGTCAGGTGGCCGTTCGTACGGAACTACCGTACGTACGAAAGGGCAGTATCCGTACGACAGGCACACACAGACTTGTTTAATTAATGGGTAAGTATAGACTGACACTCCCTTCGATTCAAAATGACCACTCAAAGACTAAGCATACAAGAAATAATGGGAGAGTGGCATGTGTGTAGCAGTGGTGTCAAATTTGGGGGCATGCCCAAGAGTCTTCTTAGGACAGTGAGAGACTGTGTGAATCTAGTTAGTCGTCTACGCGCTCCTCCTTGTGGAATGATTCCTGTTCACTGAACAATGATAGAAGAACCCTTCAACCACAGAAGTTGAGTTGCATTCGCATCCGCACGACTCCGTCACATGCGGAACCTATCGCAGGAAGGGCAAACTCGCGAAATGCTATTCGTTAGCTTTGTTTTGCTGCAACCTTTGTGAGCTGCTGACATGGTTTCTGCCTCTTGCACATTTTGATGTCTTTCCCCCCCTCATCTCTCCTTGCTTTACCATCACTCTGCTCTTATTTCTCTTGTGTTTACTGTTCGTGCAGGCTACTCCTCTTCTCCAGGACCCAAAGCGCGTCTTACACGAACTTGTCGACCCGAAGCTGAAGAACCGATTCCATCCTGAGGATATGCAGAAGATGGCACTCTTGGCGTGGGTTTGCCTGCAGCCCGATCCCGATGCAAGACCTGCTATGCCTGATGTTGTTCAGGTGTTGCAATCACTCCTTCCCGAGAGGCGCCGAATTGATCCTTCAAACTCCTTTGGGATGTTTGATCTGAGCTGTGGACAAAGTATGAGTGCTCAGGTATGTGTGTGATCTGAACCAGAGACATTATTTTTCCTTTCCAGTTATTTATGAACAAGGTGAACCAGAGGCGTTCATTTTGCGATGAAATTAAGTTTATGCCCCCTGTCTGATCCTGGAATTGACGATCATGTTGAATATCTAGAGTGTGATCGAACTCCTTTGGGACGTGTGACCTGAGCTGTGGACAAACAGTGTGAATGCTCAGGTACGATGAGTGTGATCTGAACCAGAGGGATGATTTTTTTTTTTTTTTTTTTTTTTTTTTTTCCTTTGGTAAACAAGGTGAACCAGAGGGATTCATTTGCCGATGTAAAAGAGTTCATCCCCCCTGTCCTTTGGGATATCTGTTAAAATTGCAGCGATACAGAGCAGATTAGCATAGCCCCAGCGGAAGGAATCGAGAAATGGTCCAAATTAAAACGGTAGTGTTGGATTTCTAGATTGAGCTGAGCTGTGGACAAACAGTGTGAATGCTCAGGTATGATGAGTGTGATCTGAACCAGAGGGATGTTTTTTTTTTTTTTTTTTTTTTTTTTT